TTGTTGTATAGCCAGCTAGGCTTTTATAAAAAAATAATAAACATTAAATAAACAAAAGACAAATAGCCAAAACTGGTCAAAATATCGCACTCCTATTATTTTGTGGACAACTGTACATAATAGATACATATGTACATTAGGGTGTCCATCGAAAATGTTTTTTTTTTGGAAATTTCAAGACCCTACCCCTAATTTTATTCGATTTTATGAGAAATATTATTGCCTATTTTTATAGATTTTAAAAGGTCATTTAGAGGTCGGTCGCGACCTGTCGATTTAGGTCAGAAAATACGATTTTGTAGATTTATGAGTTTTTGAATAACTATTTTTGATTCGATTTCAAAGATCGAATATGATCTGTGAAGCGGAGAAGAGGGGGTGGCACCGCCATCTATCGATGGTCAAAATTTAAAAAATTAAGAGAAATGTGGGTTTTTTTTTATTTTATCCGATAAAAAATCCCAACAATCCAAGTCCGAAAATAGATTATTATATGCCATTTTAAAGGCCTATATATCGTCTTCTGAGGTCATATTCGATCAAATCGAATCGAAAATAGTCATTGAAAAACTCATAAATCTACAAAATCGTATTTTCTGACCTAAATCGGCAGGTCGCGACCCCTAAATGACCTTTAAAAATCTATAAAAAGAGGCAATAATATTTCTGATAAAAACGAATACAATTAGGTGGTAGGGTGTAATAAAAAACAAATTTTTGATGCGCACCCTAATGTACATAATGTAGGTATACGAGCAAATCTCACGGGTTGTTCCAGAAACAAGTACAATAAAAAGTAAATCAAGTACTGGAAGAATTTTTGGATTAAAACGTTTATTTAGGCGAAAAAGTACCGAAATTATGCATTTTTTCATTGTCATTCGACAAAATTATAATAATTTTTTTTTAATAACTTTTTGGGAGTTTTCAAATATCACATTAGAGGCAATGGACGTTATCTGTGAAGTTTCAAGAGTGTACCACGAAACTGAAAAAAATGGCAGCATGCTGAATATCTGTCGCAGCTTTTTTGTAATTTTTGAAATTAAAATTTTTTTTTTTAATTGTAATCATTTAAGATACTTCAAAATGCTAAAATTGAACGGTGAGAATGTTGTTCTTGGCAAAACGAATGAATCTAGCATGATACAAAAAGAAGGTAGTTTCATTTCAAAATTTTTGACAAAAAATAAGTTTTTGAAGTTTCATGAATTGTACAAAATTATGAGCTACCTTGCCGCATTGATAGCAACCAAACAATACATCAGAGGATTTAATGTTGTGCGTGGGAAATGTTCGGTTATTTGTACAATGGTTTTTTGTTGGCGAGCAGAGGAGAAAGGGGTGTATCACCTACAACTAATTAGAAAGAGCACAGTATAAACTTCTACAGGCACTCGGGTGGCTCATTTCAAAATGGGGTAAAATTAGCAGTTTCGCAAAGAAAAATTAAACTCGTGTTAGGCCATCAGCAGTATTTTTGCGCAAAACTCCTTTCCGCTTTAGTGGCCTTCGGCCTTAGCAGTCCAACTCCGGTTATGCCATCCACAGTATTTTTGCGCAAAATCCACCTCCAAATTTACAAAAAAAGTGCATAGTTCAAATTAAAGCTCAATCCTTTGGCTAGACGTATATATTAAGATTTTTAATTCGAAACGAGCAAAAGTCTTTTCTTTTAATATTTTCATCCAATTTCACTTGAAATATTTTTTTACTTTTTCAAAAAATTTTTTTTTGTTATTTTTTATATATTTTATTTTATGGCCTTATAACAATTGTATTCAACAATATTTAATGAGCTTGAGGCCGTTTTTAATGAAAAACAATTGTTAAAAAACAGCAATTTGAAAAAATGGTAGAAGTGATAGCTATTTCGGAAATCACCACATTTCCTCATCAGACTTCTTCAGCGAGATTCGAACCGACGACCCCAGCTGACTCAGCCAGTTGCCTACGCATTGTGCTAAGTTCGCCTTATAAACTGTTGTTGCTTTTTCCACTTTTTTCAAGAAACACAAATTTTGCTGCTAGTGAATCTGGTAGCATGATTTTAGTTAAATGTCATAAACTTGTTAAAAGTCAAGTGGTCGGCAACAACAACTCAAAACTGTCAATAAATGAAACTACCTTCTATTTTTGTATCATGGAATCTAGTGTAATAAAACTGGTGTGGCACCAAATTAAAAAAAGTACATTGAGTAAAAGATGACTATGATTTGAGAAACAAAAATCCGTTTTTATAATTTTTATTGGTTATGAAGAAAGTAGTATTTACATATGAACATGCAAATATTTAATTACTTTTAAATAATAGGGGTATTCACGATCCGGTGCATACTGTCTAGCATGGTGCATAGATAGCAGGATTGGCTAATGTGTTTGTTGTTTGAACACATGAAACAACAACAATCATGCTATCTATGCACCATGCTAGATCATATACACCGGATCGTGAATACCCCTAATATGACTTTTAAGTTAAGGCGTGCAAGTAAACGTGTTAGAAGGCTGCGTTTGGTGCTACGGAGCGTATACGTTACATACGCAACTGCGGGTATATGAGCATGAGTTGTTATTTTTACTCTTTGTAGTAAATGTTTTTTTAAAATTTCATTTAAATGCAATTTCGCGATTGAATCTTGTTCTTTATACAAAACTGAAGATAATGCATTTTCTAAGATAGTAGTTGTAACACCTCTTTCGACCAAAAACATGTTCTGTCGGAAAATGTAACAACTCTTGAGATTTGCTCATATACATTATTTGAAATAGAACTTTATTGATTTTGCGTATTTAAGAGCAATATTTTTTTCATTTATCGAGATTTTTAAAGCGCTTGAAATAAATTTTCGTATGCATATTTTTGCCAGCCCTGATGAAAACTTTGGGGTGCTATTGTATATGTACACGTTTTCGTTGTTGTTATTGCAAACGCTGATGCTCCAACGCTTCTGTAATGCTTTATGCCGCCATTGTTGTTGTTGTACTGATGAGACCGTCGCTGGGGTATAACATTTTAATTAACACGTTGTGACTGACCGTCTTTGCTGTTGTTGTTGTTGTTTCTCCATATTTGAGGCTGGCCTTCAACTTACGACCGGCCATATTGCGTCTCTTGCTATAATAATTGTTATTGTTTTGTTGTAAACACTTGTTGTTGCAGCTTTGGTTACATGTGTGTTTGTGCGTGTCGGTGTGCGTGTCTGCTGCAGCCAGTCAACCAACCGGCAGTGCAATTAATTACGCAATAAATCTTGCCTTAAATCAGAATTACTTACCGCGTTGAACTTGGCTCTTAGAGAGCAATGCAAGCAAGCAGACGCAACACAGCAAAACGAAACGCAGTGCAACGCTCGGAACGGCGCTGTAGTACCCGAACGCGCGCACACGCTCAGCAATATGTAGCACAACATAGTAGCAGCAACAGCAGCATCAGTAACTTGAAACGTCTGTGGTGTACACAATATTGCCGACTCGCCTATGTCTTGCCAACTGACGCTGTTGCTGTTGCCCGGCCTCCCTCTTGTTCTGTTAATGGCGGTGCTTCCCATTCATTCATCTGCACGAATGGCCGCCACCTTGCGCCTCATGGTCTGCCAACAGTTATTTGAAAATTTTCTAGCTGCATTGTATTTGCGAATATAGCGGCCGTCCAGCTGCTCCACATACACACTTGGCATCGGTGCCGGCATCGACAAGGCTGTCGTTGGATGTGTACTTATCTAAATACATATGTATGTACATATGTACATATATGACCGATGACCAACTGTGAACGTAGTAATGTACGCTCTACAAATTTATGCATTTACTCATACGCCTGTGCATATATTTAGTACCTACTCGTACATGAAATTCTCCATTACATACATACTTAACTAAACTTTGTAGTATTTTGATCAAAGAAACGTCATTTGTTGCATGCAATAAGCGCGCACGACATGGCTGCCTGAAAACGAACAGTGGAGAAGGTGCCTGAAATGCGAATCAAAATCATACAAGATTAAAATTAACCCACTAGCCCAAGCACGTAACCTTTCCAGGATTCTTTCGTGTAGTTCGGACGGACCTCTACAAGCTAGTATAATTTCATTCGCATGCGTCACAACTTCGACATCGTTTCTGTTGAGTTCTAGCAAGTAGAACAGAACGCCGGGCCATGGGCAGCAACGGCATGGCTTCTGATGATGCTGAAGCGCCATATATAAAGTGAGGCGCTGACCATATGCTCTTCAAGCAGTTGTTACAGGAATGCTCACGCAGAAACCAAACACACTTGTTTTGGCCAAAGCCAACAACTTCTTCGTAAACTAATCGACGAAATCCGATCGTACACCATACAACTGCTGAATCGGTCCGACTACCGGGAGGGTTAAAATCAAAACTCGACTTTTTGCGGCATCGTTTTAGGAGCAGTAGTTGAGACAATACTCATGCGATGTATTTTGCCATTGGCGTGAGAATAGCGCAATGAACATAAGATCGCTATAGCTCTCTAAATAAATAATAGGTTTGCCTAAAAATATGGCAACTTTTGAGAGGAATATACACCAGCTTTTAGGCACAGCAGTTAGTTATTCGTTTAAAGATTTTTGGTGATCAACATTTAGCATAGCGATTTCTACAATTCCATAGCTAAATTCTAGACTTTAATTTTTAAAAGCTCAAAGCACACTGTGCAAGCATAACTGAACATGTGAATGGGCAATATTGCAAGTTCCATCCCGTGAGTGGAGCTGGTGATGTAAAATACATGCTTATATACATAGTATGTACGTTTGTGACACAAAAAAAAGAGAATAATGTATGTATGTAAAAAGGAGCATGTTTTATTAAATTTAATTTCTCCATTACAAAAAAATTGTCACTCTTTACCTTTACAACACTCATCACAAGCAATTCTTCCTCCTCTTGTTTCCTCTCTTACAGGTGCCCGATGCACAAAAGCTTGTCGACGAGCAAAATATGGTCGATGACAGTGAAATTAACACAGAAAAGAATTTGGATGGTGATGCTGTTGGTGGTGGGGGTGGCAAAGGACCAGGTGGCTTTGCGGGAGGCGGTATTTCTATGACATATCGCAGCACGATATTAAAAAAATGGCATTCCGCACCGACGGTGAAGGAGGTGAAAGGCAACCATGGTGAAATGGGTAAACCAGTAAGAATACCATCGGAAATGAAGGACTTTATGAAGGAGAAATTCAAAGAGAATCAATTCAATTTACTAGCCAGTGATATGATATCATTGAATCGTTCGCTGACCGATGTGCGACATGAAAAGTGAGTATCTACCTCGAATGAATGAATTTTAATTAGCTTTGCTTTAAGCCGTATTTTTTATGTATGTATGCATGTATGTACATATGTACATTAAGGTGCCTCATTAAAAAAGTTGCGTGTTTTCGAAAAGAATTAAACTATTCATTATATTTTAAGACTTCCGCTAAACTATAAGTATCGGAAAAATATTAAGATTTAGGTGAGATGAACTGATTTGAAACCTACAAAAATCTTAGTATTTTGTTCCGTTGATAAGATTAAAAAAAATTTTAACCAGTCTTTTTCTAACATCTTAGGTGATTTTTGGAAAAAATTTATTAAAAACGAATTTTATAAAAAAAATAAATTTTGTAGGTATGTATTTTCAAATATGTCCAGTTCACGTAAATCTTAATATTTTTCCGAAATATTTTGGCAGAAGTCTTGAAATATAATAAGTTTTATAATTCCGATGGAAAAACAGAACCGATTTTTTTTTATGGAGAGTGAGGCATCCTAATGTACATGCATATAGTATATATATTAAAATATAAGGCTTTTTAAATGGAATTTATCTTTTGACCTCAAATAAATGCGCTTGTACATTTACAGTTGCAAGAAGAAGCATTATGCATCGAAACTGCCATCAACCTCAATTGTGATAGTTTTCCACAATGAAGCGTGGTCAACACTACTCCGCACCGTTTGGAGTGTCATCAATCGCTCACCGCGTACGCTACTCAAGGAGATTATTCTTGTGGATGATGCCAGCGAGCGTGGTAAGTGTGATTAAAACATTTAAAATCAAAAGCAAAAAAAACAAAAACTAAAAAAATCGATGACACTGGAAAATACATACAGTATCGGTCATATCTATAGCACACCATTTCAAAGTGATATTGTGTGCCACTTATGTTTATTTATTTATTTTTTTTTTCAATTAAAATACAGTTCTTTCTCTAATAAAACCTACATAAACCCAAGTCTAACAATTTGTAGAAAACTACAAAAAATGTAACAAAGTTTCACCCAAATTTCAAACTTTTTTCTTGGAAGTGTTAGAATTTTTTTCAATACACAGTTTTATAGCTCAATCAATTTTAGCCTGATAATGTGCAAGTTTCAAGTGGCTAAAAGTTACCGTTGATTTTTTAGAATTTTTTTCGCCAAAGGTGTTGCGGATTTCTTTCATATACAAGTAAATTTAGTTTATTCATTATATGGAAGCCAATGCGACAAAAAAAATCTAAAAAATCAACGGTAATTTTTAGCCACTTAAAATTTGCTCATTATCAGACTATAATTGAAGGGGCTAAAAAACTGTGTACTCGAAAAAATTCTAACACTTCCGAGAAAAAAGTTCGAAATTTAGGTGAAAATTTGTTGCACTTTTTTGTAGTTTTCTACAAATTGTTAAACTTTGGTTTATATGGGGCTTGCCTGAGAATGAACTATATTTTAATTGAAAATTCTTAAAAACAAATAAATAATTAATAGTGGCAAACCATTTCACTTTGAAATTACGTGCTATAGATATGACCGATACTGTATATGTATGTAAATAAGTAAAACATTATTATTTTTTAATTAATTCATTTTGCTCACAGATTATCTAGGTAAGAAACTGGAGGATTATGTGGCGACACTGCCGGTGCATACGTTTGTGCTGCGCACAGAAAAGCGTTCTGGTCTCATACGCGCCCGCCTGCTTGGCGCCGAACACGTGACGGTATAAATTATTATAACATTTTGTTGTTTGTTATGGTTTTTGTTGGCGCTAACATATTGCTGTTTTTATTATTCCTTCTCTGCCTGCTGCTTGTTTATAGGGTGAAGTCATCACATTCCTGGACGCACATTGTGAGTGCACAGAGGGTTGGCTGGAACCGTTGCTGGCGCGCATTGTGCAAAATCGGCGCACTGTAGTGTGTCCCATCATTGATGTGATCTCTGATGAAACATTTGAATATATAACTGCTTCGGACTCGACGTGGGGCGGTTTTAATTGGAAATTGAATTTTAGATGGTAACGTGAAAATGAGGTTATGATTGTTAAGTGAAATAGTGTTGGTGTTGGTTGTGGCAAGTTGGCTGATAGTGGCAACAATGTTGCTACTGTATTAGAAAGTTACTGTATTATACCGAGGATGCAGCATGCTTTAATAAGAGCCCTTTAGGCGCGCTTTTTCTTCGTTTAGCAATAGGAATACAGACATAGATTTTTAATATTTACATAAGGCCAGCTCGTAACCATTTTCTACGACTTTAAAATATTCAAAAATTTCTAATCGGCAGTCATCTGTTAAAATAGATAGGTAAAATTATCACAAGGTTATTTTTGTTGATGTTACAGCATACAAATTCCCCAAAGAGGTTTTGGCGAGTGATGCTGGAGTGACAGTCCTTGGTCAGATATAATTCTAGGTCGTTCCGGTTACGTAGACCCGACTGTCGGGGGAACTGCCGAGGCCTCTTTAATGGTGTTCAGTTGATGATCTGCTCGAGCAGAAAAAAGCGGCCGCAATCCATAGTGCTTTCGTTGCCACCATCGTCGGGATGAAATTGAACCCGAAGAGGTGGTTGCCCCTTCTGAGTTTAGCCGAGAAAGATAGTTGTTAAGTCGGTGAAATCACCCGCAACGGAGCTGCTTTTTCAATGCTGCCTAGCGGCGGCGAACGTACCATCTCGAGAGGGCAAACCATTTCGAAGCAGAGCGTTGTGGGGATGATTCTCCACAACTATGGGAAACTGCTTAGATAGCATGACGTTGTGTTCTTTCATTAGCATCTGACTTTTGTCGGGGCAACATACACTGGTGGTCAAAGGAGGATTAATGGTTTTTTGTTTTTAACCGACTTCACAAAAAGGAGAAGGTTATCAGTTCGCCGGAATATTTTTTTTTGTATGTATGTTACCGCATACCCGTCAACCGATTTCTATAATTATTTTTATTTTTTAAAGGAAACAGGTTTGCCCATACTAATTTGGTTAAAATCCGATCATTAGATCATGAAGAAATTAACGATAATCTTAAATTTTTATATAAAAATTGAAGTCGGTTTTGTTTTTTGCTTAAAAATTATTTGTTAATATTTTTTTCAAGCTAAAATTTTTTTAAATTTTTTATTGAAAATATAGTTCATGCTTAAAAAGAAACATATAAAGAAAACTTTCAAACTATATACAGAATTTAGAAAAATTCAACAAATTTACATACAAATTTTGAACTTTTTAATCAGAATTTTTATAAAATTTTTGGTTATGCAATTACAAGATTTATAAAATTTTAGTAAAAAAAACTGCAAGTTTTGAATGGCATAAAATCAGCATTATTTTTTTTTTCTGAGGGCTTTTGCGGTTTTTTCATATAAATAGCGCAGTTTAGGAAAACTGGCGTTGATTTTTTAAATTTTTTCCCGCAAGCGGTCTTGTGCATATTCCACAAGAAATTCATGGTTATATGGAAAAAAGTGCAAAACGCCGTCATCAAACAAAAAAAAATCCAAAAATTTTATAAAAATTCTGATTAAAATGCTTAAAGTTTAGATAAAACTTTGTGGGTGTTTTCTAAATTCTGCACAAAATTTGAAAATTTGATTTACATACATACATATATGGCTTGTGTTAAAGCATGAACTATATTTTTATAACAAGAATATTTAGCTTGAAAAACATTGTTAATATTAAAAAGAAAACACCACTATTGAATGCCAGTATAAGTTGACACATTTGACGATTTCTCCACTGCGATTCCCTTATCCCTGTCAACAATAATTAACCACCGATCCACCGATCGTCTGGTCCGTCGCCAGGTCAGTGACTTGAGGACTTGTTTCTGCGTTGAAGAAGAGAAAAGCTATCGACCCGTATTTGCAAGATCTTGGGTTGGATCTAGCTCCATGGTAAGTTGACTCCGGCGGGTGACGGTGGGAGTCGGTCATTTAGAGGTTAAAAGCGGCGGTGAGAGTACTCTGTATTGAAGGCGTTCTTGTTTGTTTAATTCTGCGCAGCATGAACTAACGATTGTCGTTCACACAGAAAGTTTATTTATTTTTGCAGAATTCATCCCTCAAATTGGCTGTAGTTCTTCGCTTCTCTCCCTTACTTGCCAGATCTGTGGGCTGGAGTGTGTGGCTAGATACAGATTGGAAAGCGTTATTAGTTACTCGACTTCTGGGAGTTCTTGCTTCTTGATCGTAGTAGATATGCCGTTAAAGCTAATAGGCTTAGATTCCAAATAAATTTCATCATCCTATAGACCAGTGTTTTCCGAAAAGTGATTTTTCTATGTCACTGTCCATATAAAATGCTAAACAGTATTTAAAGAGATTGGCTTATGTGCCTGTCTAGTACCCAAATATGCCATTCGAGGTAATGTCTGCTTATCGTTTAGGCTTTTCGCTCCCATTCCGGCAGCTTCAGCGCAAGTCATTTACAACTAAATAATATATCGTAAGCATGTATCGCTTAAGAAAAATTAAAATTCGCCACAACCTGTCCCGTGACTGCTATATACGAGTATTACCAATTATTCAACTATATTCAAAAACCATTTCATTTCCGCTTTCCAGGTATCGTGTTCCTCAACGTGAAATGGAGCGTCGCAATAATGATCGTACAGCGCCGCTGCGTACGCCCACCATGGCGGGTGGGTTATTTTCGATCGATAAAGATTATTTCTATGAAATTGGCTCCTACGACGAGGGCATGGATATATGGGGTGGTGAAAATTTAGAAATGTCCTTCCGGGTAAGTAACAAAACTATTTAAGGCGTAGGCGTATCATAAAACTTCATATAAAATACGAAAGGCTTAATTTCCAGTAAAAGAAAATATGCCGAATTAGTCAAACAAAGCAGAAGAATAACTAAGTATTTGTATTTGTAAATGCAGCCGTTAAGCGCGTCGCTTTATTGAATTTTGAAATGAAATTATATATTTTTTGTATTATTATTTTGCTTATTTTATATTGGCATTGTTAAAAAATTCAAATTTTATACTACTACACTCTAGATATGGCAATGTGGCGGCATTTTAGAAATAATACCTTGTTCACATGTGGGTCATGTCTTCCGTGATAAATCGCCTTATACATTCCCTGGCGGTGTGGCCAAAATTGTGCTGCACAATGCGGCGCGTGTGGCCGAAGTGTGGTTGGATGAGTGGCGTGATTTTTATTATGCAATGAGCTCAGGTTCGAAAATGGGCCTTGTTCACATTTGTTTACTACCACTACTACTATGTAATACTACTACTACTACTGCTACTACCACAACTACAAAAACAAAAATACATTTGTTCTTAACTAAATATATGTATGTACATATAGATATGTGCATTCTACTTGCGACACTATTTATTACTACCACAATACTACATACATTACCACAAATTACCAAACTATTTTGGTTTTATTTTAAATTTGGAATATTATGCCACCTACCCCACTTGTATTTACTATTTTTTATCTTAACTTGACTAACAAACTAAAAATTAAGTAACAATTTTTTTTAAACGCTACATATACCTATTCGTAATAACGTTTGATTGATTATCTTTTGGTGCCTATTTTTTGCTAATAACTTTTTTCGCTCCATTTTGCCATTCAATTTATCATAATTTAATCATGCTCTAATTTAAACCTTAATTATTAAGCATTGATGTCTTAAACAGACAATTTTTTACGATTACACTTTTATGTAAAATGAGAATGAATGTTCGAATTGTATTCCGTAATGAAAAATAAGGATTTGGCATAAACGACGAACGGTGGTACTACTAACTAAGAAGAAGAAGAAGAAGTAAATTGTTTAAAGTATTAAGTGCATACATTGAAGCTGAAAATATTTAGTCTTAAAAATCTCGAAAATATCTCAGTTATTGCGAAACGATCCAATTTCATAAGAAAAAGTATTTTCGAGTTTCGTGATTTTCACCTTTTAGCGTTTATAGTATTCTCGAATAATTTTTTCCTAAAAACTTTCAGTGCGTTTCAATATTCAAACTCCCTGTTCTTAAGAAACAATCTATATCTGGCCAAGGACTGTCACCTTAGCTGATTCTCCAAAAGCTTTTCGGGGAATTTTTGTATGCAGTAACAACTATTTACGGAGTTCAACAAACTAAATTTAGCCGAGATAATCTCCTCAAAAAGTTATATGTGTTGATATAATGTATTATTTTTGCCTCAAATAAGCCCTATTTGTTTAAAAATAACAAGTAAGAAAGTCTAAGTTCGGGCGGAGCCGAACATTATATACCCGGCGCAAGTATTAAATATTGTTTTTTCGCCCTTCCGAAACCTTCCGCTAGATGGTAAGCCGAGGTGTATCAATTTTGAGTAAATTAGCGTCCTTCAATTTCGAAATATTGAAGTTTCAAGCATTTCTTAAATTTACCGTTATATGAGAATCGGCCGTTATTTTAGTCCGATTTCAGTAATTTTCAACGTTTTGCTTACACGTGGCAAGTACAATAACCATACCGAGTTTGGTACAAATTGGTAGAACGGTTACCGATATACTTATATGTGATCATAAGTGGGCGGTGCCACGCCCATTTTCCAAAATTTTACCATAAACGTATTTCTTGGTAAAGAATTGTTGCAAGCATCAATTTTGAATAAATTAGCTTCCATATTTAATGATTTATCGAAGATTTTATATTTCTCTAAATTACCGTTATATGGGATGTGGGCGTGGTTATTGTCCGATTTTAAAAAGTTTCGGCGATTTTTTATGCTGTACCAAGGCCAACAACTGTGCCAAGTTTGGAAGAAATTGGTGCAGCGGTTACCAAGATATACACATGTAACCATAAGTGGGTGTGGCTACGCCCATTTTCCAAAAATTTATAATATTCTTATTTTTCGTCTAAAACTTATTATAAATATCAATTTTGAGTGAATAATCTCCAGTAGTTACTAAAATATCGCAGTTTTCGTATTTCTGAAAATTACCGTTATATGGGAAGTAGGCGTGGTTATTGAGCGATTTTAAAAATTTTCGGCCATTTGGTATGTTATGCGAAGGCCAAGAACTGTGCCAAGTTTGGAAGAAATTGGTGCAGCGGTTACCAAGATATACATATGTAACCATAAGTGGGCGTGGCTACGCCCATTTTCCAAAAATTTATAATATTCTTATTTTTCGTCTAAAAATTATTGTAAATATCAATTTTGAGTGAATTATCTTCAGTAGTTACTAAAATATCGCAGTTTTCGTATTTCTGGAAATTACCGTTATATGGGAAGTGGGCGTGGTTAAAGTCCGATTTCGCCCATTTTCAATACCAACCTACCTTGGATTAAGGGAAACCTACATACCAAATTTCGTTGAGATATCTCAATTTTTGCTCGAGTTATCGTGTACACGGACAGACGGACAGACGGACGGACAGACAGACATGGCTTAATCGATTTCTTTTTTCATCCAGATCATTTATGTATACATTTGTCTATATCTATCTCGATTCGTTTTGGCTGTTCCAAACAACCGTTATGTGAACAAAATTAATATACCCTTGTGCACAAGTGCGCTCGGGTATAATAACTTGTGCCCATGGCCTTTAAAATAGCAAAAATATGTATACTCAGTTAGAAATCACAAAATATGGTTCCATTCAGCTCAAAAATCTTTATTATCATTACAAAACAACATTTTTCTAAAATAGAGTATTTTTTTCAAATATGGTATGTTGCCTTAAAACACTGAATGGTCTTTTGAACTAGAAAAAGTCTCGAATTCTTCGAAAAAGTTCGAATCTTTTGAGCCTTCCAGCTAATCAAGTTTGAAGGAAATACACACATACTTATATTTAGACGTTTTTTTTTCACTATTGGCTCGCATCTACTTTTTGTTTAAGCGCTATATGTTTTAAATTTATATCTTTAATAGTATTGGATTTTCGAAATCAAGATAAATATTAACTATTACATAAATTGTTTGCTTTTTTACTTACAATAACCCAAAATATTGCTAAATTTTGTACTCATTTTTATCTACCTATTTACCTACTTGTTTCATTCTAATAATTAACTTTTGGCTCATCACAAACACGAACCAAACAAAAAAAAAGTACTTCTTAAACCTTCACCAGGATATACATACATATAATAAATTCTGCCTTTAAACAGTAGATAATCGAACAGATAATTAGTTAATAAAGAAGTTCAACAATCCTAGAAATAACATTCAAACACAAACACACACAACAGGGACACATTTACCCTGAAAGCTATTTTTTTTCAAACTTTTTCAAGTGAACCTTTTGTTGGCATGCCACTAAATAAGTTAGCTGACTAAATTTTCAGAGTAATTTATTGAACTTCAGCTCACTGTCTGCGCTTACATTCATTTTGAATTTATAAGTCAGGGTTTACAATGACAGCTTTGGAGTTGAGAGTTATTTTTTAACCGACTTCAAAGAAAGGAGGAGGTTATCAATTCGGGGGAATAGTTTTTTCCATCGGAAAGGTGGTATCTCGAGGTTGGTGCCATACTAATTTGGCTTAGTTCCGATCGTTGGTTCTTGGAGAAACTAAAGGTACTCGCTAAAGTTTTATATGAGGATTGCCTAAAAATTAAATATGTAGTTACGTATTTCTGTTCACAATATTGGCTTGGAGTGAAGTTCTTAACTCTTAATGGCATCAATAAGCATGTTCCAAGATTGCAAAAAATGCTCCCGATTCCAAGTTGAAATGGTAAATTCTGCTTAATGCCTCCGGCCATTTAACTTCGTTTCGATTGATAATTTGTCTTATGCATATCTATTCATATTATATTCATTACACTATGTAACTGTGATTTTATACATTTTATTGTTATGACTCAGTATTTATTTCCTAAACCAAACTGATGTAGCATAGATCCAGGTGCCATGAAGATGTAAGATTAACCACTGATTGCCTGAATTTTCGGTCTATATTATTCAGGCATACATAGGCCTACGTTGCCGGATTTCTCCCCTGGTGTTTATTATCGACTATACGAGTACTACGCTTTAGAGTTTTCTGCATAAATCGTTACCACTCATAGTAAGAAAAATGCCTAATTGATGTTTTTTTTTTATTTCGGAAAAGAATCTACTAAAGATGTGATGGTTACACATCCAGTTATCCTTTTGCTTATCCGCTGTATTCGCGAAACATCTTCACGGTTAATTTAAAGTTAGTTTGACTTTCTATTTGAATAAATCATTTTGTATCTTACTTTATTTTGGATTGGTTTAAATGCTTAATTTATGGTTATTTCAAATTGAACCCACATTTGAAAACACTAAATTGGATTCTGCGTTTATGGACTGTTATGCACACCAACGCGAGCAGTGACAAAACAGCTGGATTTCACCCCTTCCAGAAAAAAGCCAAGGCTAGCTTGATTCTACTGAAAATTAAAATATGTGTAAAGTTGCCAGTAGAATTATAACTTTAAGGCCAAAGAATGTGATTTAACGGTCTAGACATGGCGTCCTTCTATTTTTGCAACGTTCCTTTGCACTTATCATAGTGAGCATATTTTTAGCGATTGTCGAACTATGCGGGATTCAATAAATATTCATTTAGGGCTAGAATCTCAAGAAAAATCGACTAAAAAGGGCTAAATAACAATTTTTAAAGCTAAGGCCAAGGGTAGTTTCATTATTCATCGATTTAACATTTTATTCTATTTTAGAACGAATTTCCAAAATTGTATTTGTTTAGGTACATAGGCACATACAGTTTTCATTCTAAACAAACATTCTGAGCT